ACCACTTAGTTGACCCCCTGAAGGGCTACATCAAACAATATAGCATATATACATGAAAACATAACTGATAAGAACCCTCCAACACTATCAAGGATGTTATTGGTAATCAGACACTTGGGATATGTCCCATGTATATCCCTAGTCATGGTCCTAAAATTCTGGAAAGATCCCTCAAGTATTGACGGTAAGATAAGTAAAACAACATAGGCTTGACATATGACAATTTACCCCTGTCACTGAAAGTCACTGACACATATCACACACACCAAAGATTTTATTAAAAATGCAGTAGTATGTATAGTAGACTACATAATGAACCTAAAATACACATTGCCCTGAAGGTAAAGTCTTTGTAGAAGAGTGTGGTGAGGAAATATTAGAATTGGTAAGTAAAAGTCCAACCACTACATATACACCAAACTGGTGAGTTTCGATGTTTTGGGCTTTTGGACTTTCCCACACTCTATTTCAGAGATATTTCACTGCCCTAGCTCTCAACTGTTAGTGGATCCTTTTATAAATCTGAGACCATGATATTGACCATGCTTAGAATATATTGCAAGCATCTGATTACTAGATTGTGTCCATTGGAGAATGTAGGCCCCTTATCAGTACACATACCCCCTTTCCCTTAGATAACAATATTATACCATATTTCTAACTGATCCTTGGGATGAGAAGTAGGTATATATGTAGTAAGGATAATACATGAGTAGTCTGGATCATTTATGCAATGGTAAAGTAGGGGAAAACACCAAAAATGTGACAACTGCAATCTTAGAAGTTTTAGCCTGTATAGAAGGATTCTGTAGGTATCCTGATGTACCAACCTGGTGTACATACTCTAAATCTGTCTAGGAATGGTCCCCATATCATTCTGCAGCTGTGTTCCTGTAGGAAAACCTTTCCCAGAGGATGGACCACCAGGAGAGGGTGAGTACACAGCATCACAAGGTTTTGTCTGTGGATGTTAAGGTCATGCTCAAAGGAAGGAGAACTCAAAGGGCTTGACTTCAGCTTGTGTGCTGCACCCCTTACCCAAGTATGTGCCCTTAATTTATGAGAGGCAGGAGGGAAGTCCAACAAAGTCCAGAGGTTTCCGGAGGTCAGACACTAGGGGAGTTCGGCAGAACTCCAAAGGTTCAAGGAAACCCAGAGTAAGACTGCTGTGGACAAGTCTGGAGTAGAAATGGAACAGAGGTAAACTACCCTAAGGTAGAGCTGGAGACACACTGGTCTAGATATAACATATCCTCTGAATGTGTGGCTTTCTCTTGTAAGGCTCATAACTTTGTCAAATCTTGACCATTTTACATGATCAGACCACCGGTAAAATCACCGGATTGAGTGCTATGTTACCACAAGCAACCGGTCACATAACTACCGGTCAAAAAATCTCGGTCACAATGGTCTAGATATCATATATCCTCTAAATTCATGACTTTCTCTTGTAGGGCTCATGACTTTGTCAAATCTTGACCATTTTACATGATCAGACCACCGGTGGAATCACCGGATTGAGTGCCATGCTACCACAAGCAGCTGGTCACATAACTACCGGTTGAAAAATCCCGGTCACAATACTGTAGATATCATATATCCTCTAAATTCATGACTTTCTCTTGTAGGGCTCATGACTTTGTCAAATCTTGACCATTTTACATGATCAGACCACCGGTAAAATCACCGGATTGAGTGCTATGTTACCACAAGCAACCGGTCACATAACTACCCGGTCAAAAAATCTCGGTCACAATGGTCTAGATATCATATATCCTCTGCCAGTGAATTTGTGACTTTTTCTTGTAGCACTCATAACTTTGTCAAATCTCGACCATTTTACATGATCAGACCACCGGTGGAATCACCGGATTGAGTGCTATGCTACCACAAGCAACTGGTCACATAACTTCCGGTTGAAAAATCCTGGTCACAATGGTCTAGATATCATATATCCTCTGCCAGTGAATTTATGGCTTTCTCTTGTAGGGCTCATAACTTTGTCAAATCTTAACCATTTTACATGGTCAGACCACCAGTGGAATCACCAGATTGAGTGCTATGTTTTACTATAAACAACCGGTCACATAAATACCGGACACAATGGTCTAGACATGATATATCCTCTGAAATTGTCACTTTCTCTTGTTGTAAGACTCATAACTTTGTCAAATCTTAACCATTTTACATGGTCAGGCCACCGGTGGAATCACCGGACTGAGTGCTATGTCACCACAAGCAACTGGTCACATAACTACCAGTTGAAAAATCCCGGTCACAATGGTCTAGATATGATATATCCTCTGACTTTGTGACTTTCTCTTGTAAGGCTCCTAACTTTGTCAAATCTTAACTATGTTACATGGTCAGACCACCGGTGGAATCACCGGATTGAGTGCTATGTTACCACAAGCAACCGGTCATGTAAATACCGGTCAAAAAATACCGGTTGCAATGGTCTAGATACAATATATCATAATATCCTCTAAATTTATGGCTTTCCCTTGTAGGGCTCATAACTTTGTCAAATCTTAACCATTTTACATGATCAGACCACCGGTGGAATCGCCGGATTGAGTGCTATGTTACCACAAGCAACCGGTTACATAAATACCGGTCATTGTTGCACCCCATAATACCGGCCCACCCGTCTCCATTGCACCCTATCATGCCGGCCCACCCGTCTTCATTGCACCCCATATCACCGGCCCACTCGTCTTCATTGCACCCTATATCACCGGCCCACCCATCTCCATTGCGCCCTATAATGCCGGCCCACCCATCTTCATTGCACCCCATATCATCGGCCAGCTCGTCTTCATTGCACCCCATATCACCGGCCGACTCGTCTTCATTGCACCCAATAACACCGGCCGACTCGTCCTCATTGCACCTCCTTTACCGGCCCACCCGTCTCCATTGCACCTGCTATACCGGCCCACCCGTCTCCATTGCACCTGCTATACCGGCCCACTCGTCTTAATTGCACCATATTTACCGGCCCACCCATCTCCATTGCACCTGCTATACCGGCCCACCCGTCTCCATTGCACCTGCTATACCGGCCCACTCGTCTTAATTGCACCATATTTACCAGCCCACCCATCTCCATTGCACCTGCTATACCGGCCCACCCGTCTCCATTGCACCTGCTATACCGGCCCACTCGTCTCAATTGCACCCTATTCTCCGGCCCCCTCGTCTTCATTGCACCTTATGTACCGGCCCACTCGTCTCCATTGCACCTCATTTACCGGCCCACTCGTCTCCATCACACCCCAGTTCCCCGGCCCACTCGTCTATATTGCACTCCATTCCTCCGGCCCACTCATCTATCACACACTGGATTCACTACTACTATTCATAATTTCCTATATAGTACATTGCTATACTACCATCTATACTATATACACCCGGCCCATCCGTTTGCCTTGGACACTCCACCCCCTCGGCCCACTCGTCTAACACGGTACAATTATTGCCATGGGCCGGCACCGGGTGGCCCGTCTCTATTGGTACATTGTCACGCCCGGCTGCCCGTCTGAGACGGGTGAATTCACTGAAGGGGCTCTTCAAAGGACAGCCAGTACCTGGAACAAAAGCAAAATAAAATAATGCGAACATTGCGAAGCAAACCAACTCCATGTGAATATGACCAGCAGATGTGACCTTACATTCGCCGAGTCCAAAATGATATCCTCCCATTGAATGGGTGTGGCATCTAGTGGGGTGCGACTCGTAAACACGTTTTCGTTTGATAATGAGAAGTAAAGGCAGGAAATGATGCCCGCTAGAACACAATGACCCGGTCTGGACTCGGGGGACAAGTAGCACCGAACCAATTGAATCTTGCTCCTGAGAGCACTGACATTACGCTGACCCTGAGTCCCTGATATGCAGATCGTGGAGAACCCGACTGGCAGGGACAGACGAGGGAGTCCCTGACAAAGGGGGTGAGTGAATGAGCGAGGTGCAAATTTGAATCATGCCCTCGGAACAGTTTATCCACCGAGGAGAACGCAGCCTGATCTTCCTTTACAAGACGAGACGACCATTTCATCTGGGGGGCGCCTCGATTTTGCAGAACCAAACTTATGAAAGGGACCTAGTACATAGGCTACATAGCTCAGCAGCCTAGCCCACACATGCCTTCCGCAAAAGGTTGAGACCGTCTGATGCATCCCTAGAATTCGCCGATTATGATCAAGTGACTATCTGAGGAAGTCAGTCGATCAGTGCTCACTGGACTATTCTGACACAGGGGCCGTACGCAAAAATCGTTACACTTGAGTCACGAGTTCGCCCAGAGTCGTAGGTGACCTGTTCCATCAACACCGTTACTTCAGCTCCCACTGTCAAACCACAGCGAGAAGTATGTGCATTACAGCAGAGGGCCAGACCTACCAAGTCACGGCGGCAAGTACAGATGACGTTTCACATGGTTTGGTTCTCTTTTTTTGCCGTGTTCACGAGACACCTTGAAGAGAAGAACGGGGAAGTACTTACATGCATTATAGCAGGGGCCAGACCCGCGATCTGTCCCATTAATACCTTACTTATAATTAGTATCATCGCCTATCATCACAGGCTCGTGGTACAGCCGACTCCAAGTCTCACATAGTTTAGCGCTCGGCAAGTCTAGACCCATAATCATCATAACTTCTACGTAGGCCGTTCCCATCGCTTTCATTCAGAGTCGTTGACTGAGTATGTGTCGACAGTTTCTCGACCTTCATCGTAGTTGAAAACGAATCAATTACGATCGTTGCAGAAACCTGAGTCATATCGCACTGACGTGGCGCTCCATAGTACATTCCCCTCATCGGAGGAACTCACAAAGATCATCGATAGACTCCCTTGCAAGCGAATTCAAGGAATGGTTCGTTGTCCGTGACTTTCTGTCAACCGAAGTGCTACGTTGTTGATGCGGTGACGCAGGAAACAATCATCATTGCAATGCTTGGATAAGCCAGTATGTAAGTCCCTTTCATAAGTTTGGTTCTGCGACTCAGATAAAATAGTCGTTGCGTCTTGTAAAGGAATATCAGGCTGCGTTCCCCTCGGCGGATAAAATGTTCCGAGGGACACGATTCAAATTTGCACTTCGCTCATTCACTTGCCCCCTATGTCAGGGACTCAACTGTCACTGCCAGTCGGGTTCTCCACGATCTGCATATCAGTTACTCAGGGCTAGCATAATGTCAGTGCTCTCAGAAGCAAGGTTTAATTGGTTCGGTGCTACTTCTTCCCCGAGTCCAGACCGTGCCATTCTTTTCTAGCGGGCATCACTTCCTTCCTTCACTTCTCATTGTCAAATGAAATATGTTCACAAGTCGCACCCCACTAGATGCCACACCCATTCCATGGGAGGATATGGTTCAGGTGTCATTTTGGACCTGGCGAACGTAAGGTCGCATCTGCTGGTCATGTTCACATGGAGTTGGTTTCTTCGCATTATTCTATTTTATTTTTGCTTTTGTTCCAGGTACTGGCTGTCCTTTGAATCTGAGCTCAGAAGACAGTCATCTGCCCGTATAAATACGCGATGTCGCGACTGTAGCTCCCCATCGATCCTTCAATCGCTCTCAGTGAGTCCAAGGTCGTGTGGTGCTTCCTCCTGTCTGACGCAGTTTTCAGATATCTTGACCTCCTCATTGAAGTCTCATCTCAATCTTCTGCATCACTCAATTGCAAAGGTACGCTCAAACTTCGTTCACACCGAGTTCACATTAACCATTCAGCACACACGAGCAGATATTACTATGGCACCTGTTACCATTACCAACGCAACTGGTGGCGTGATCCACGTCACGATCACTAATTACGAGGACACAGGCTCGATGGGTGTCTTTGCTATCGATGCCGGCAGTGCTTCGGTCTGGCAGCGAGGCCAATTTCAATCGATGACCGTGTTCAGGGATAACAATCCGGTCCCGGAGGTCTCTGTTATCCAACCTTCCGCGCAGCGCATTATCGAGTAGATGCAGTGGATGACGACGTGCGCACCGTGTTCCTGCTAGTAATAAGTGTTGTGTTGTATAACAAAGTTAGAAATTGGAATTGGCACTCTGCGTTTCGATCCTGAACGTTCTGAAATTATATTGGACTCGGTACCGGTCTGCAACCACTTCGTGAAAGAATGATGCATTACTCTGGCTGCATACTACCTTCGAGTTGTGATGCATCGTCTAAAGGCGTGCCTGCTGAAATGGAGTTGCAACGTTGATTCATGGGTAAGGGACAAATGTTGGCGTGGATGTCACCTTCCAAGGACTCCATTATACCACCGTACGGATCGCGATATACCAGTAGCGTTACAGCCTTGTGCGGGGAATGAAAGGGGAGGAGCCTTTTGAAGGTGAGAGCTTAGCAAGACAGGAATGCCCCACTGAGGTCCATAGGTAAGATCACAACACATTACATGCTGACCAGTGACGAATAAGAGTCAAGTCATGCTGGAGTACTGGGGCTATGCCCGAAGATGCGCTATCGAAGAACAACGAAGACCTGGAGACCTGATAATTACTGCATCCGATGACTCTAACGACTCTCTTCCCGGCTAAACCCGGCTCAAACACTGCCAAACCCTCCTCTACTCTCACCCTGCCTAGGTGTAAGGATTGCATATCCTCTACACACCGATCACGCTTCAAGCGAAGATGACGTGACTCCGTAACTCTTCGCGTCCGAGTATACGTGGTTACATTCCTTCTTACTCTATTCCGTCTTCTACCATATGTCGCATTCCACCATCTCCTTGTCTCGACGATTATTTTCAGCTCCACATGCTACCTACTCAAATCTGGTTTAATCGTTCGGTCGCAAACACTTAGATACCGCGCCTGTGCACTCGTACTATAGCAGAATCCAAGACTCTGATTCCCCGCTCCAAGCACGAAAAGATCCTCACAGCACCAGCCTTACAGACTCTCTCGTTGTTCCCGCTTTCGGTCGTAAAACGACACGTCTCGCATTTCTCGTCTTCTCGTTCCATTCCATCGAACTATAAGTCGGCCTTACATAGGGGTCCCCTACTCCAATGCTAGTCCTGGATGAGGTACTCAGACATAATTGTGCGAACTCTTGGATCGATGTCTCCAAGGATCTTGATGGTCTCATACTGTTCAGTCGGACATCAGCCTGTACCACGGTAATCAACACAGATTGTACGCACCCACAGACGCTTTGACACCTCCCTTCCTTCCACGCTGAGAGCATAATCACTCCTCTGCAACCTCACAGCTCGACACGTAGTGACCATGCCGTTCCCTCTCACTGGTTCGATTGCTGCGTGGACAAGGGTTCGACTGCCCATATCAGTCGTGCGTGCCATTAACCCTTTGTAAATGCTCCCAGCAAACTTGAGGAAAAGATTCGGTTCAAATTCTCGCCCAAGACGGGAGGCAGAGCCCGGGATTGACCGCCGAAACTGCGATTAAGGTTGGTATGGGAAGTCGAGAAGATAGCTCTCTGATGAAATCACTTCGAGGACTGCGCATGGCGGTGTGGTGAGTATACGAAATAATGAATGTACTTTGTTACTCACGCTTGGATGGTGGTAGCGGTTTCTCATCACGTTATCATTGCTCAGGAAATGGCTTCATGAAACTTACTAGGTACAATACTCCTCGTCTTTTTTTGTCGATGATACTAGGCCATTTATCTGCTCCTTCCAATCTGTTGGCGAGATAATGAACCGCACTAGTCACAATGACAAGTCTGGAGGGGTTTTCAGGGGTCCCGGTCTTGTTGAGGTGAGCAGCATCAATAGTGCTCAACAAAGCGGTCGAGAGGTAATTCACTTGCAATCTACCAAAGTTCTTTAATGTAAACCACGACGATAATAGAAAAGTACTGACGAAGTTTCGTAGCCATCCGGGGTTTTCGCGTACTTTATTGTCACTATGCCGGCGTTGGCAATTAGAGCGTCTACTGTGCAGCCCTTCGCCTCAAACCTGTTCACAAAAGAACGCACTGAGTCGAATGAGCATAGCTCGAGAGGCCAGGATTCGATATCAGTCATGCCCGACCGGGTTTCCACGTCTATACAAGTCATTTGGTATGGTTCCCGATAACTTCCAAAGTTTCATACATACCTGCTTTTGACCCTTCGCACTTGGCTTCGTCTCTGCTGGTGATCAACAGGCTCTTGGGGCTTAGCTGGGCTAAATGCACGGCAGCTTCGTTTCCAAGCCCGACATTAGCACCGACCACGACCAGCGACTTGTCGCTGACATCCGCAGTGGAGATCGGGAGCTCTGTCCATTGCTCGCGAAGAAAATGGAGAAAGCGGAACTTGCCCATAATGCCGCAATTGTGTAACCTGGAGAGCGATAAGCGGCATTTATATCGGTTGATCAAAGTAAAATATGTGGCCCGGCGTAATACTAACTACTCACCGGTCGACCTCTGAATTTGCTCTGAATCATCGTTACTAATTAGTGCTTACTTACTTACTGATAGCTGCGCAGCAGCAATGGCAGCTCTATGCCCTGCCATGCCTGACAAATGATCATGTGAAATGAATGCAAAATCTCGTCCCAGAAAGATAAGATTGATATCGTACTGTGTGAGCCTGTGAGGTACGGTGGGGCAGTGACTATAAGTCTATAACTTTGAGTACTTACATTGTGTATGTAGAGGAATTCAAACACTGTGGCGAATCGATTCATGTGTACGAGGAAGCGATGCGCCTGAGTGTTTGACTTCCTCTGTGATGAACGAAACATAGAACGGCACATATAGCGGAACTAGTAAGTCTTACTAAGGTTATGTGACGGTGGAACGAACGCGGGAGCTTAGCTGCTGGAAAGATAAATCTCAGTCTATTGGACTCTGTTAAATAGAAACTATATACCTTAGAAAGATAACTAATAGTCTGTTAGTATAGTAACTGTCTAGAATGAATGAATACTCACATCTTCAGTTCAATGGACCGAGATGCTCGTCTGTCGCCGTCTATCCTTTATTACTAACGAGTCCATGGTCCGTATTACTAACGTTTGTACCCTGCTTACTAATTACAATGGTCAT